CCAAGTCTCTTTGATTCATCTTATAAATATTTTATCTCCTGGGTACCGGAATGAACTAGACCAGAGATCAGAGAGTATTAACCTTGTGGAGGCCCCATATGTTGCTTCATCTCCTATCTGCTTCATTTACCCTTTCCAGGTAGTCAGTGGGTCAGGCCTGGTATGGCCTGAAATAGACATAAGTCCAAGGAAGTATGGTACCCAAAGGCTGTAGGTTAGTGTCTTCCATTTATTTATTTATTTTTTTGTTGAGATAGAGTCCTACCCGATGCCCTGAGCAGAGCACAATGGTGTCATAACTCACTGTAACCTCAGACTCGGGCTGTGGGCATCCCACTACCTCAGCCTCTGGAAGCTGCTGGGATTACAGGCACTTGGCCATGGCCAGCTGGGTTTTCCATTTTTTTAGGAGTTGGGGTCTCACTCTCGCTCAGGCAAGTCTCGAACTCCTGAGCTCAAGCAATTCTCCCTCCTCCGCCTCCCACAGTGCTGGGATTACAGGCGTGAGCCACTGCACCTGTCAGTGTCTTTCATTTAAATAACAAAATTATTTTTAGTGACTTGTCTTGTTGCTCATCAGGAATTTTTATATTCTTTAAAGGACTATTTTGACTAATGTGAACTTTCATAGTCTCATTCTTTCAGCTTGGTCAATAGTAGACCAAGGCTGTACAATTACAGACCATGTCTGGGGCCTTGTACCCAGCTTGTGTTTAAGTCCCCAAATAAAAGGGAAATAAAGTGTTGGGTGGGCATGGTGACTCACCCCTGTAATCCTAGCACTCTGGGAGGCCAAGGAGGGTAGACTGATTGCCTGAGCTCACGAGTTTGAGGCCAGCCTGAGCAAGAACAAGACCCAGCTAAAAATAGCTAGCCATGTAGTGGGCACCTGTAGTCTCAGCTACCCGGGAGGCTGAGGCAAGAGAATCGATTGAGCCTAAGAGTTGGAGGTTGCGGCTCGGCGCCTATAGCTCAACCGGCTAAGGTGCCAGCCACGTACACCTAAGGTGGCAGGTTCCAATCCCCAGCCCGGACCCGCCAAACAACAATGACGGCTGCAACCAAAAAATAGCCAGGCGTTGTGGCGGGCGCCTGTAGTCCCAGCTACTTGGGAGGC